TCTATCCATTCACTCTGTATATGGCCATCCATCATACATACGTGGTCATGTGGCCGGCATGATTCAACGCCGAAGGTGCACGGAACGCTGTTCCCTTCCCACCAAAGGTGGCTCCTATTTTTCTACTTGCATTTATTTACGTGCTTTAGAACTGCTAGGTTGGCAGAGGCTGGGACAAGTAATGGGAGCTCACTCTGTTACACGGCGCTATGGATTCGAACTGCATACATAACTGCATACATACATACACACACACACACACACACACACACATACATACACAAACACACACACAAACACACACACTTGCCTAGTGCGGTGTAATGGAGTGAGCTCCCGTGACTTGTCCCAGTTTCTGCCAACCTAGCAGTTCGAAAGCACATCAAAAATGGAAGTAGAAAAATAGGGACCAGCTTTGGTGGGAAGGGAACAGCGTTCCGTGCACCTTCGGCGTTGACTCATGCCGGCCACATGACCACGGAGACGTCTTTGGACAGCGCTGGCTCTTCGGCTTTGAAATGGAGATGAGCACCGCCCCCTAGAGTCGGGAACGACTAGCACAGATGTGCGAGGGGAACTTTTACCTTTACCTAACAAAAGCTATGCTGGATTATCAAGTAGGTGTCATGACTAAAATGTCCATACAGTATTTCTTTTACTAAAAAGCAAAGAATTGTTCCACTAGAAATAATTTAATTAGCAGCTCTCATTATTTCTCTGCAATAATGAACACGTAACGCAGTTCCCTCCAGCTGGTCAGCTGCTGTCGAAGCCTGGAAGAGTTACAGGCTTCACACATCTGTCAACTGGTATCAAACCATTCTTCCTTGATCCCTTTTAGCTCCAAGGATCCCATTTAGCTGCCGTGAAGACAAGTGCAGCAATGGGATGATTAATGGTGGCAATGAGGGACAACAAGACAAACAACGTCCTTAGGTCAAGGCAATTGGGAGAATACCTCCTTGTCTTTGGGTAAGGACATGACTGCTCTGAGAAGGTCAGGTCTCCTGGACCAGATGGTTTCCTCTCCAGGGTACTGAAGGAGCTGGCAGATATAATCTCAGAACCACTGAACAAAGTCTTTCAGAGCTCCTGAACCATGGGGGAACTGGGAAAGAGCTAATGTTATTTCAATCTTCAAGAAAGAGGGAAAAGTGGATCCAGAAAACTACAGACCAATCAGCTTGACAGCAATATCTAAGAGAATCCTGGACAAGATAAGGCATGGAATGGAATGGAATGGAATGGAATGGAATGGGGAAGTGAAGTGGAGTGGAGTAGCATTAGAATAGAATAGAATAGAATAGAATAGAATAGAATAGAATAGAATAGAATAGAATAGAATAGAATTCTTTATTGGCCGAGTGTGATTGGACACACGAGGAATTTGTCTTTGGTGCATAAACTCTCAGTGTACTCTCAAAGATATGTGATAAATCATCATCATAGTCATAAATACATTCATCATGAATCATAAGATACAACACTTGTGATAGCCATAGGATACTAAATAAGCAATCAAAATCATACTAGGAAACTAAATAAAACAATTTAAATCATTAAAGATGCAAGCAACAAGTTTATAATAATTAAAAAAGGGGATGGGTAATAGGAAGGATGAGAAGAATAGTAATACAGTCTTAGTAAATAGTTTGACAGTGTTGTGGGAATTAGTTGCTTAGCAGAGTGATGGCATGCGGGGGAAAACTGTCCTTGTGTCTAGTTGTTCTGGTGTGCAATGCCCTACAATGTCATTTTGAGGGTAGGAGTTGAAACAATTTATGTCCAGAATGTGAGCGGTCTGTAGATATTTTCACAAGGAGCAGATTTGTGAGCATCTAGAATGAACAAGAGAATTAGTGGAAACTAGCATGGTTTGTTAAAATCAGATCAGGCCAGACAAGTGTTACTGCCTTCTTTGATAAAGTGAGTAGGTTAGGGACCAGGGAAATGCTGTGGATATAGTATACTTGGTAAAGCATTTGACAAAGTAGACCACAGTCTACTTCCGGGTAAGATAGGAAAAATGTTAGACAGCATCACTATTAATTGGATTTGCAACTGGCTGACAAACCACATTCAGTGTGTAGTCCTTAATGGAGCTACATCTCCATGGAGAGAAGCTTGCAGTGAGGTTCCCCAAGATTCTGTCTTAGTACTTTTCAACATCTTCATAATTAACCTACATGTGGGGCCTGGGGGAGAACTCATCAAATTTGTGGGTGACACATAGCTGCAGGAAATTTCCAACACTTTGCAGATAGACTCAAGATTCAGAAGGATCTTGGCAAACTTAAGCATTGGGCCCTATCCAAAAAATGCAGTCCAGTGATAAGAAAACTAATGTCTTGCATTTAGACAAGAAAACACAGGCATACAGGTACAGAATAGGCGGTATCTGGCTCAACAGTAGCAACTGTGAGAGGGATCTAATGGATCATTGCTTAAGTGTGAGTCAGAGTATTTCATAGCTGTCACAAAGGCAAGCCAGTCCTAGGCTGCATCAACAGAGGGAGAGCATTAAATCCATGTGAAGTGATAGTAGCACTCTATACTGCACTAGTGAGGCCACACGTGGAATACTGTGTCTAGTTCTGGTTACCACAACACCCACAAAAAGTGTTGGGATCTTGGAAAGAGAAGTGCAAAAACACCGACGCTGGACTATAATGATGAACAATTGGGGGAATGATATATTTCTAGTGCAATGAAAAGAAGGAATGGGGTGACATGATAACTGTTCTGACCTAGGCCTCTCAAGAGCACGAAGCCGACTCCTCATCCCGATAAAACCCCTTTTATTTAGGTTAAAGAGAATTCCTCTCCAGCAAAGTTTTTCATGAGATTTCACAGCTACAGACCTTTCTCAGGCTTGGAGAGCTGCCAGGCTGATATCTTCCAAACTCCACGCTGTAGCAGCAATTCCTTGGCAAGAAGTCAGGAACAGATCTTCACCCAAATGAATTGAACTCATTGCTTCCTGCAAACTCCCCTCCCCTTTCGCTCCTCTTTATTCCCTCTGGGAGGGGCCATTCACTGTCCCCCTGTGCCTTTACTCCCGAGTCTGCCCTTTTTTTTTTTAATAAATGTTTTTTTAATTTTAATTAAAACAAGTACAGCATCTTTCTTTACATCTGTAAAAAATGTATCA